TTCCCAGCATGGTGCCAAAAACGTGACGGAAGTGCGCGGTAGAGTAACCTAAATAATTATGAAAATGATTTAGGGCTCTATATATCAATCCTTAAACAATGCTTAGATTTTTTTATATGAAAATTATAAAAATCTTACTTAATATACGCAAGTATATGTGCCAAATCAAGTAATATAGTGATAGAGTAGAGTATCGATTTCAAGAGGAATAATATTTACTTACAAATGCTAGTATTGTTTATTTCAACTACAATAATTATCCTACTCAATTAAAATAAGTTTTAGTCGAGATTAAATCACTTAATTTAAATTAAAAAATAATTAAGTGAAATAGTATTTGGATAAATTATATTTGATAGATGGAATATAAATATAATATGTTTCACAATGATTTTATTTTTTATTGATTGTATTTAGAGTATATGTATCACCGATCACTCAATCAAGCGTGAAAAGACAAATAACATATTAAACTCTTTCAATCTCAATACCACTTTAAACTTTCGTAGTCCGTCACTCCATAAAAATGTTAGAAGAATAAGTAAAGCATGTACTGTTAAAACCCACTCATGATAATTCGTCTTTATAAACTTGCTACATGACAATCATAATGTATATACTTACATCTTATCAATCCAAAATACCTAGTGCATGCTTTCCTATTTCTAACCTCCACATTATTACACTTTATATTAACTGCATATATGACTGCTATGTGCATTAAATGAAGACCTGATTATTAAAAGTATCATGAAATTATTAATGAAGAGAATTCATTAGTACTATATATTTCATTTACACCATCAATATAAAATTAGAGAATTTAATCAGACATTAAGACCTAGTAAAGTAAATTCATTTTCATTAATTACACAAAAAGTACAAATGAAAATATATCACTATATGGGTTTAATAATCTCCTTTACACTCCTTATACTTACAGAATTACTTTCATAAATATAAGATAAATAGAATGTATATAATACTTCTCTGAATTTTCTTAGTTGTCACTCATCAGGAAAAATCAGAGAAGCACTATAAAGATTGAAAAAATACAAAATATTAAATAAGTAATTGAAATCCCATACTGACATTATAATTAAATTATTAATAAAAATACATAAATTGGATTCTAGCGCAGCGGCGCTCGAGACACTTGTGTTATATGGCGTCCATAAAATGAACTAATGCCGCAGTGCTGAAGGGTTTCCTCCACTATGGAGCTTGCTAACATGGACCTATTGTTTAATGAATCGAGGCATCTCTTTGCAGGAAAATCATGGCCTGAACGGTTACAACTAGAGTGTTGTAGCACTGCTGATGGTTGAGCTCTACGGCATCCATGTGTCACCCCCCTTGACTTGGTAGCACAAAAATTTGGCATTGTAGTGCTATGTCTATAGAGACTGGGCTTTACAGTGTTGACTCCTCCAACATTGTGGTGTTGTCAAACAGAGACTAGGCGCTTGGGTACTCTAGCAGTGTTAATGATGACGTCATTGTGGTATTTTGTTCGATATTGAGTCGTTGTATCATACTTGAAAATTTTACCAATTTTGTGTATATTCTTGCACAAACACAACTAAAAAATATATTATTTTTTTCTAACAAATTAACACATAAAATATAATATTATTTACACTTATTTGTTATTAATGTTATCTATCATCTATCATTAGTCATATATATCATATGTCATATATCTTATCTATCATCTATCTTATCAATTAGCAATCATCAATCTTATTAGTTTACAGTAATTAGTTTTCACTCATTAGTCATATATTACCTATCAATGTCAACTTGTCCATCTCATATAGTACATCAATTCATTCATTTTGCTTATTCTTAAGCATGTTTAGTATCGTGTATATCATAATATCCTGTTACATCATATGTAATTATCATAACATCTAGGTCTATCTAGTGTGCTCATTGATATGCATGTATTATGCCAAAATATATGTCATGTCAAATGAAGAATAATCATATAAATATCACGTATCTAATATTTGAATTTAGTATGTTAGCACCTAATCATTTTGCACTCAATATTTCTCTACTCATTTTAATTAAAATGTCATATAAGTAAAACCACCTATTGAAAATTTTATATAAGCTAGTCAAGATGCTCATAATGATAATATATATCATATATCAAAGTTATACAATGAAAGTTTACTAATACTATAGATATCATATTTTGGTTGATTTTAGGAGAGAGAACTATACTGAACTTAAAATCATTGAAAATAGATGTAGAATATAGGTCATTTATTATGATCAAAATAATTTTCATAATAGGAGCAACGAACAAAGAAGCCTGGAAAGATCTTCTCTCTCCCTTCTCTCCCTCTTCTTTCCTTTCTTCCTCGGCAACCAAATGAATTGAGGAAGGGGAGGATCAAGCGACGAGGGATGCGTACAGAGACCATGGCGCCACTGTGTTCTCCATCACAATGTCGTAATGCTGCAAATACATATTTTATATTTCTAAAACAATTCATTTTATAAAATTTTGAGTTGTTATAGTTTGTTAGGTTTTTATACTCGAACTACTATTTGGATCCAACTGGGAGCATTGCCAACAACTAAAAGGTCCAAGGTTTGATCCAAGAACACTTTCCAATTTTCAAGAATCTTCACCCGTAAAAAATAACAATAAGGGCACTAGTAGATGGTTGTTTACAATAAATAAAAACTATTGAAATAGAGAACTCAATGGATGATAACTTTAATTCTAACTATTTTTCCAGGGTAGAGTGCAAAGTAAGCATTCTAGCCATGCTATTAGTTGGAACTTTGATCAAGAACTATAAGCTATGCCTTGTCAGTTTCAAATGTGGCTTAGACAAGCTTTTGGAGGACCTAAAACTAAGTTCAAACAACTAGAATTCAATCCAACAATTTAGGTTGAGCCCTTCTATATCTAAGAATAGTTGGAAGCTGCTCAACTATAGGAAAACTCTATCATAAGACGAAAGGGACAACCACAAGGAATAAATAAGAGATCTTTGCAAAATCTTAGACTCCATTATAATTCCTCAGACTATACCTCACATACTAGAGAATCCATACCATTTTCAGTATAACCTGAAATAAATTCTCTAAAAAGAAGCTCCCTCCTCTTCTAATTTCTAAAATAACCCTATAAATGAAAAGTCTAATAAAATAATAAAAAAGAAAGAGAAGAGAAAAAAGAAACTAAAATAAGGAAGGTAATAGTTAATTAACCATGTTAGGTGGGTTTAATTTGTGCTTTTTTCCTTTTAAATTGATAAAGCTTTATGATAATTGGTATTTATGAGAACTTCAACATTATTACTAAGAGTCATAATCCTATTAAGTGACTATTTTATCAAAGTTTTCAAGGCATACAATATAGAAGTGGTTCTTCAATGGACACACTATTACAATTAAAAAAAATTAAGGAAATAAAAAAACACTAAGAAAGCCCATGAATAATGTTTAAAGTTTGATTATATAGCTTGTTAATCAATTTGAACTAAATGTCCTTGATGGTAATCTTAATGGTGATGTCGATTTGTGAGAGTCGATATGTACATGCATAAACTTTGATGTTATGAGTCTTCCATGTTTATATATTGCTACATATAAAATATAAAAAAATAGCAAACATATTTCTTTAATCATGGCTATTATTGAGCATATAAAGCCAAATTTTCTTATATATTGCTACATATATAATAATTTATGTAACAATAAATTTTATGAAATCTAACACAAATTTTGATTTATTATTTACTGCTTAAAGCATATTAGTATATGGTCCACAAATTCACTTCATTTACAAAAAACTTACAATCAAGACAATAAGATTTGACAAGATAAACCTAACAATATCAAGAATGTCTAGATTAAAGTGCTTGGACCTTAGCTTAAGATTCAAAAAAGTTCAAAAGCTAGAAGAATTCTAGAATTTCACTCGAGCAATATCATCAAACCATCACAAAATCATCATCTAGTTGCCATTATCTGAGCATCGCCAAATCGATGTCCCTAAATCACTTCTTGATCAAGATCATCAAACCATTACATGATTGACATTGTCGGACCACCACTAGACCATTGTCGTCGTCACTAGACCATTATTGTCCGACAATGATCATGCGACTATTGTTGCTTGACTACAATCTTCCAACTATTATCACACGGTTAAAATCCTTTGTCTGTCAATGTGTGATTACAATCCTCCAAACTTCAACGCCTGATTATGATCATCTGACTATTATTTCTTAACTATAGTCCTCCAACCATCATATTCTGATTATGATCCTCCAACCATCATCATCGCGTCTACCACTATTTGACCTCCAACGCCTAACTATAGTCCTCCAACCTATAGTCCTTTGATTGTTATCACTTGGCTACGCTGACATCCTCTGACTTTGTCAACTACCATCATTAATAATGTCAACGCATGCCATAGTTTATAAGATTCACACATTATCATCAGCTCTGACTCCCAGCACTAGTGCTAGGATTTACGCTGTACCATTTGATCTTTGGTCGAGTTTAAATAAAAAAATAAACAAACTATCTTTTAAAATAGCTCACATGCCACACGTCTTTTTTCACTTGCATCACATAATATAGTATATACATTGTATGTTTACCATATTGTTCCTCGATGAAGTGCATCATCATTTGTAACTAATGATAAATATTAGTATAATCATTTTAACTAAACTAGATCCCATAGCTTTTTTTTAAATGTTTCACATAAAAATTTTATTGGATGTAATAAATCTTCTTTTAATATATGTACTATAATTATGTACAAAATTAATATGGAACTATCTCATATACTGTGGTTTATTTATTAGTTCATGAATTTTTAATTTGATATTAATATATTCAACTCTAAGTATTCAAACGAGTATTAATAATAATTTTCAATTAAATACTTTTTTTTTAAAAAAAAAAGTATTTATAAAAAAAAAACTTTCAAACTAATTAATCTATAAAAACTCGCCCAGTTTCTCCCTCTCTTCTTCCGTTTACGGCCATCTCACCCAATCGGGCCAAGAACAACACGTCGACCGAGAATTCCGATCGCCGGCCTCAGCCATCCCATGATCTCCGTCTTACGGCGATGCCATCAAGCAGATGGAAGAAGGCCATTGCCGCCGATGGGCTTCTCTCAGGTCTTCGTTCAAAGAGCAGCGGCTCTCTCGTTGTTCAAACAGGCTTCCCCACTTCCCTCGCTGACCTCATTGTTAAAAACCACGGCCGCCTAAAGAAATCTTCCCGCAGTAACAATAAGAAACCCTCGCCCTCCTCCGAGGTCCCACGGCTTCCGGCACCCGAGTGCCGTTCAGCCGCTCCCGTGATTGAAAACCCTAGGTCTGCTGATCGAAGTATGAATGCCAGGCCTGGAATTCAGTTTCTCATTGTAAATTTGATTCTTTTGGTGGCTTTGGTGATCGGAAAGAAGAAGCTTGTTGTAGGGATTACGATTTCTGCTTTTACGCTCTTGATTCTCGAAATTTGTGGGCGTCGCGGTTGGAGATTCCTGAAGCCTTGTCCGGAAGCGAGAAAGAGGTTGGATTCGTTGATTTGGAGTTTCGATTTGGGAGGAAGAGATTGGGCGTCTCCGATTCGGGAAATCGATGCAGGCCTTCGTGCTGATTTGTCGGTTTCTGGTGGAACGGCCGAAGAATCGAGGATTAAAGATCCGAGCTGCGAGTTACTCCCGGAAAGCTGCGATTTTGGAAAGGTTTGCAGCAAGCGGAAATTGGGATCTTCAGGTGATTCTAAGGTTAAGAAGCTACTGAGAAAATTCGTGCTTAGGAAATTCCATGGAATTAGAGAACCGGAAAAATTTCCTCATTGCGTTGAAGCCACAGAGGAAAAACCATGCGAGACAGATTTATTAGAGAAGCAAGAGGAAGAAAGTGGTAGTGATGATGAAGCCGGGAGCTTCAAAACTTGTTATGGTGATTTGTGTGATGGAGACGATACACATAGGACAAAAATAAATGTGGATGAAAATAAATCCGGCAGAATCTACGAGTTTGTCTTCTTTTTAATCGTTTTATGTGGTCTTGTAAGAGGCAAGCTTATTGCATTATTGCTGGCAATGGTTTGGTGTGTTCTCTACAAACTCATCATCGTAGTGAGGAGTAAAAGGAGGAGGCGATAAGCTCACGCCATTGTTTTACAATTTGAAATCAATTGGTTTTCCGCTCATCTATACTATGAAACTGCAAGGATTCTATCTGCAAAGGTGAAAGAAGAATAACTACTTTATACTTGTTTTTTGTTTAATGAATTGAACTTGAAAAGGAAGACTTGCTCCATAGTTTTTCTGATGACATCCTGTTGAATTTTAATGGAATATACGTTGAAACTTTACATTCTTTTCTTCTCTTGACAATTATTTTTTGTTGATACCTGCATCTTGGACCACTTGTCTAGTTCAGTGAATTTGTTTACCATCTTTATAGTTCTCCATTTTCTTTTTACTTCAGTACTTCTCTAAGTTCCTTTGAACCAAAGGGGCTTCTTATATATTGCAAAGCTCTCGAGTAAAATTACTTGTAGCCTACAGAAAGTAACGATACTGTACTTACTGTGCTTGTTCATTTCTGTAGCTAATGCTCTACCTTTTTTTGTATTCCACTATATCATATTGGACAGATTTATATTGTTGCAGTTCCCTTTTTTATCACCTCCATTCATGAAAGTTGCCCTCATTTAGCAAAAATGCCTCTGGAAGAATGGTTGTTGCTATAAAATCAGAACTTAGATATTGTTTCAGGTTTCCAACTGTAGAGATTGATCCTCAAAGGCTGTCAAACAACTGATGCTACCAATATATTTGATTTTTAGGCTTCGTTTGGAACGGTTTTTTTGTTGCTTCTTAAAACAACTTTTTAATACAAAATTAAAATTTTTATATTAGAAAGCTGCTTTAAGAAATAACAAGAAAGTCGTCCCAAATGAAGTCTTAGGCTTCGTTTGGGACGGTTTTTTAATTGCTTCTTGAAGCAGCTTTTAATTGCTTCTTCAAGCAGCTTTTTAGTATAAAAATTAAAATTTTTGTACTAGAAAGTTGCTTCAAGAAGAAGTAAAAAAGTCGTCCCAAACAAAGCCTTAGTAGAACAAAGATAAGCAGTTTTCAAACCAACTCTCTGATAAGTAGTGGTTTGCTTGTTGGACCAGTTTGAAGTGTATGTGATCGAAATAGTGCATTTCTGCCCTATATCTGCAAAATTATCACCATCATCAACCTTAAGCCTTATCCCAAGTTTTGGGATCTGCTTGAATTCTTTTTCTTCATTCTTTTCTGTCAAGTGGCCAAGTGGTGTTTGCCCTTGCCCTTTAATGAAGAAGAAGAGGCTTCAAAGACCTTTGAAAAATAAAAGTGAAAGTATTTATTGGAAAAATATATGTTTTGCAAAGAAGATAGTTTTTATCAATGCTAAAACTCTCAACAATTTATTTTATCGGATGCAAAAAATGTTACCTAGCGAAGAAGATAGTTTTTTCTTTTTTTTTTTGGCTTTTGTTCTTTTTATCTTGTTAGGGTAAAATTGGGGAAAAACTTAGAAGCTCAATATAAATAAGCAAACTTTAAAGACATTTGAACCTTGTACTGTAAAATAACAATCAAAATCATTATTTGTTATGAAAATTTTACTTTGTCTTGTTTTGTTTTTAATCAAATGCCCTTTAATTTTGTTCATTTGTCTTGCATTTTTTACACCGAAGATATTTCAAAACTTCCTGACATTATTTTTTCATGTGAAATTGTGCGAGTCCAACTAGATGTTTCCTTTATTTTTTGTGGTTTATTATCTTCATTACCTTATAATCACTTCAACATTGTTACTGATCTTTAAGATTATCTAATTGATATTAAATAGTTGTTGTGAATGTTTAATATTAGTATTGGAAAGAGGACAAAAGAGATCAAACTAAAGTTTCTCCTTTTCTACAAAGAGGAAGAGCGCTGCACCTTCAAGTTGGGCTACTCTATTCATGGAGGGAGGAAGAATTCGGTTTGCAAAAAAAATATTAGAGAAAACAAAATATGTGAGTATGGCTTCGTTTGGTTCTTCTTCTTCTTTTGTAAAAGATAATTTAAAAACAATGGTTAAGGGAATAGAATTTTCTAACATAGAAGCAAATATCAAAAAGCTTCTCAAAATAGTAGAAAAATGAAGTTCCCTAAAAATAATTTCTATAAAAGCGTCTCATCCAAATAACAACTAAATAAATAATTTCTCTGTTCAGAAACATAATAGAAAAAAAAATGCCAAAACAAACGAGGCCTAAGATGAGAGGAGAGATAAAACACTTAGCACTTCAATTGTTTGATCAATTGGCCTAAATAAAACACTTAACACTCAAATAAGCTATGTCTTACCTAAAAAAAAAATGCTGTCTTATCCTAGAGAAATCCCTTAAGTCTAGGAATCTTGCATGCCCAATACCACCCTCAATAACCTTCAGAATCTTTGGAGCCTTAAGTAAGAGAGGGCTTCAATAATCTATTTGAATTTCTGTTTTCCTCCAAATTTAAATATATTGTACATCTTGAAATGAATGTTATTTCATAAAAATATTTTGATCGACCTATCATATTCTCAACATCTTCTCATGCACTTCTTGTTTGTGAGAAATAGTTGAGAGTCAAAAGTTCAATTCAATAATTTTTCTGTATTCACCTCTACTTAGTTGATGATTGCCATTGAATGTTGTTATATTTACAGGTTTCGTTTGGGATGATTATTTTACTGCTTCTTAAAGCAACTTTTTATTACAAAAATTAAAAATTTTGAACTATAAAGCTGCTTTAAGAAGCAGTAAGAAAACTGTCTCAAACAAAACCACAGTTTGAACCCCCAAAACCTATAAGGATATTTGATATAAGATTATCAGCTTTGAATATTGCTCAAAGCTTATTCTGACCATGATCCAAACTTGTTCAGCACGTGATTGAATATTTTTTCAAAACATATTCAAAGCTTGTTGATATTTAGGAACCAAGATTGAATAATAATAATAATAAATTTGATCATAGTTTGAAGTTTATTATGTTAAGGTTTTATGAGTTTTGAATATAATGGAACATTGTTCAAACAACTACTAATAATGTCAATCAAATTTCGAACATATGCTTAAAGAAACTTATAGACAAGTTTAAATTTATTATTTTGCACTCTGCTTCTCTTTTGTGATTAAAATTTTGTTTGGGGCGGCTTTTTAACTACTTCTTAAAGCAACTTTCGAGTAAAAAAATTTTAAATTTTGCACTAAAAAGCTATTTTAAGCATTGTAAGAAAGCCGTCCCAAATGAAGCCTAACTCATTTAAGCTTTCATGTTATGCTTACAAATGTATGATCGAGTAACATATATAGTTGAGGGTGTGACGGAGAATATTGTTAGGCATTTTGAGTCATTTGAGGCTAATGATATATTGAATATGAGAGAAAAGTACATAATATTTAAATATGCATATGTTAATCATACATATAGAGAGACATTACATTATTTTTAGCGGATGTGCTGCTGTTTTCAATAGATATGTTGCTGAAGATCAACACAAAGTTTGATAGCTTGAATTTATAATTATAAATTAAAAACACACATGCTATTGTTTGATGAAAATGATTTTAATCTTAATAATCTTTCAGAGTAAATTTGATAATAATATTTTAACATTGTCGTTGTCAGGTTCTAAGTCCTGAATGAGAAAAGTGGAGGGTTGTGTTAGGTAGTCGACAACCAACGTCAAACTTGTCGAATAATCATGACATAAATTCTTTAAAAAATTGCCGACCCACCTAGTGGGATAAAGGCTTGAAGTTGTTGTTATATTGATTTAGTCAAATTTGGGAACTTTATAGTAATATAATTTTGTTATAGATGTTATTATTGTATTCAATTGTATCAAAATTTTTATATATTGTGTGATAGCCGTTGTGATTAACATATTATTATAAAATATTATAATTGGTTTAATATAATATAAGACTTCTTATTAAAATTTTATTGTTAGTTGTATTTATTTTATAATATATTATGTTATAGCTATTATAATTGCTTTCTCTTATATTATACCCTTGTATTTAACAAGTTCGAACATTTTTTGAATATTGAATGAACTATATTTGAACATGCAATTCAATTATTTTATAAAAGTTTCTGATAATGCCTTATGCAAATCATGCTACAACAAAGCTTAAAGCATGCATCAGCATGGCCCATCAAATAAAAAATTTAAATACTGGCAATTTTAAATGCCACTACGCGAACAAGAAAGTGGTTGAATAGTATGAGTTCTAGCCTTTCAAATAGGTGCTGGAAGTTAGCATATCGTCAAAAAAAAAAAAAAAGTTATAACAATATATGAACATGAAATTAGAAAGACAAATGAAATCTCGACCTCAAATAAAATTTTGAAAGTTCCAAAATAAATAAATAAAATGTGATTAGCAAGTTGGGGTATGTTTGGCTATGTTTTTGTTTTTATTTAAAAAACAACTACTTATGTTAGAAAACGTGTTTGCTTTGTTATTTTTATTTATTTTTGGAAACAAATTAATATGTTTCCAGGTATTTTGAAAACTGTCCGAGGTGTTTTCACTTGCTTCCAAAACATCAATTATGAAACTAGGAAATAAATACACGTTCAAATATAGTTTCTATTTTAAGTGAACCAGAAAAAAAAAACAAAAAAATAGAAAAATAAAACACAACTAAACATATCCTTAAGTATAACAAAAAAAAGAAACCCTTGCTGAACTACAGCCTACTTTTTGTTTGAAAATTGTTTGTAAGGTTCAACAAGGCTTGCATCCAGATCAAAAATCTCAAGCAGCAGCTAAGGTGCGTTTGGGACGGCTGCAGCTGTCAGTAAAGCAGGTTGTGAAATTGTTGTATATAAAGTTGCTTTTTAAAGCTGCTGTATAGAAAGCAGTCAAATTTGTTTAGATAGTATTACTGCCGAACTGCTATGCTGCTGCTGTTTGACAACAAATTACCTTGTTACCCTTATATATAAAGATGAATAAAATTTGTTCATTTCCTTCAATTCAATCAAAAGAAGCCGGTCTTAAGGAATTTCTTGAGCTAAATGATTTTTTTTACTGAATTTTATTTAATTTTCTGCACTTATTTACAATCAAAGCAAACAAATTCCTCGTCATCTCACAATTTCATTAAAAGATTTATCTTTTGAAAATAAGAAACTTATGAACAAATCTTGATGAAAAATTAAACGATCAGAAATTTTTATTAAAAAAAAATTAAAATTAGATTTCTGCCCCTTCTAAAATAATTAACAGTTTCTTTTAATCACAGATGGTCACTCATCGCCGGCCGGCTTCCAGGGAGAACACCGTCCGGAGATATGCTTTTGCCGTGAAGAGCCATGAAGACTGAAGGATTAAAGGCCGAAAGCGCCAACAGAGGATAAGCTATGTACTACGTGATCGTTGCTTGGCTCTCCATCATCTCTTGGGTCATATTCAGCTTCGGCAGTGGCGACAAGAAATCATGGCATAGAACGAGCATCGCGCAACAAGTCTGAACTTGCTGAACTAATTTCCATATCCCCTGACGACATGTTGGCGGTTCCTTTCTCGTCCGGAACGACGGGTCTGCCGAAAGGGGTGATGTTAACTCACCGGAGCATGATTACGAGCATCGCGCAACAAGTAGATGGAGAAAATCCAAATCTTTTTTCTGAAAAGTGATGACGTTGTGCTCTGTGTTCTTCCCCTGTTTCATATATTTTCTCTCAACTTTACTTTGCTTTGCTCGCTGAGATCGGGTGCAGCGGTTGTGACAATGCCGAAGTTCGAGATTGAAGCAATGTTGAGACTGATACATAAGTATAAGGTGACGGCGACGGCGGTGGTGCCCTCGCTAGTGTTAGCTTTGGCGAAAAGTCCTCTGATGGAGAGCTTTGATTTGAATTCTATAATAATTGTACTGTCGGGGAGCACGACCTCGTCTCCCCAAACCGCAACTCGGTTGCGTTTCCTACCGTACAACAGCGAAAACGGCGTCCCAAACGCACCCTAAATCTAGAGACTAAAGTTTTAGGTCCTTGAGAGTTATCAAATATGTTTTGAAAAAACATAGTGAAGAACGAAACACCATCAGTTACGCCAGCATCTGAATTTAATGCAACTCTTAATATTATAATATAATAATAAAGTCAATTTTCCAAATCCTTCATGGTCCAAATTATAAGCTGATCGCAACTTGCTGAGAAAGAGGAGCAAAACACAAGACATAAAAAACAAAAATAATGAAAATATCGAGTAATCAAGAAAATTAAAAAGCAAAAGACGGGATGCATAACAACAATTATTGATCACAAAAGAGTTGAGAACCTGCACAACGGAAACCAATGCAATTGTGGAGCCTGTGATGGAAGGAGTTGACAACTTTGTTTTTGGGCTTGCTGAATAAGCTGAAGGAGAAGCAGACAATACTTTCAAGACCTGATTCAAAAAATTTAGAATATGATTTCAAATAAATAAAAGGAAGGACAAATATGATGAATTGTATGAAAAGAAACAACTTTACCAAAGTACTAGCAGGATTTACAGAATGGCCAATTCCACGGAACAGTACAGGAGCCTGTTCAAATGTTTGATACTGTCAGTACAATAACTAATGAAGTAAAATGAAGTTATATTTTCTTATTTTCCCAAAAAAAAAATTATATTTTCTTGGAAAATGAACTTTTATGTGGAACAAATTCCTAGACAATGTCCTTAGCATTTATTTATACAGACCAATAAAAAAACATATTGAAAATGAGAAAAAGAACAAGGGGAATAAAAAAACATAAACAGGTTTGCAAGTACTTATAAGAACATGTTACAGGCGATCAAAATTTTTCAATAGCATGATGTCCACTTGAAAGGCAAAAAATAGCCAAAGAGGTAAAATGTTCATTGCTTGTGGTGTTTGGAACATAATACGAAGAGAGCATCGCAATAATATGTTCAGTCCAAGTTCCAAGGAGAAAAAACAGTCAAAAAACAAACTAGACCTAATACAGAATTTACCAGTCAGCCCTGAACAAAAAAATTTAATTAATCAATATTCTTATAATTAATGTAGTGAAGAATATTGAATCCTTAATGGAGGTAGAGTAAACAGAAATAAACTGTTTTTGAAAAGGAAATCTTTTGCAAGCAACTGCCCTTTCAACTTGCACAAACAAGAAGCGAGAAGAAGGGAAGATGGAAAAATGCATGAAGTTTATTCCTGGGCTCAATGTAGAGCATTCAAGCACCTGAGATGATAAGGAAGGTATAAATTAAATTTCCAAGTTAATAAGCTAGATTAGCCACTCACTGCATGTTATACCTCAAATTAACCCTTTTACAACTAATGCACAGCCAACAGATCAGTTTAAGCAAGACTTGATCCACTGAATTTAAAAACTCGACAAAAAGAAAATCGACTTATAATTTCGATGTGTTTTACTACAAAGTCTGAAAATTTACATACCAATATTGCTAATTAAGCCAACCAAAAAAGAAAATCTTAACAATTAAAAACCTCTCACCGCTTGAAGAGCCACCAAACCTCCTCAATCGATCCTCATTAGCCTATCATTATAACTATTTTATCCTTCCAAAAGTACTAATAATTAGTTTGAACAGAAGCGAGCTCAGCAGGAAAATTCAATTTTCACGCAGAAGTTGAGAAAAAACTCCACAACATGACAATGGCCATGATGAAATTGCAATAATGTGATATGAAAATTAACATTAAAAACAGTAAAATAGCAGAAAAATAATTACTCAATTATTAAGTAATTAATGTAGACAGCGTCTATTACATAACCCCAACACCATATTTCAGTAGGCATCAACAATACGCATGATACCAAGAGAACTATATAGAGAAAATATTCAAGAGTTTGCATACTACCAACACTGGAGTTAATCCCTCATGCAATCCTCCAATAGCGTCACTTCCACCAGCCAAAAACAGAAGTGCACAGCCTGATGGCCCAAGTAACCATTATTGGAGACCAAATAAACCTTATATAATTGGTGAGTGGGCTTCTAACCCCGAAACAGAATCACCAACCAATATCGATTAAAGATCCATCAAAACATCTATTCTTTCTCGGGTAAAACTACATACAGCAGTTATATAGCATGTCAAATAACTATCCTGATCAAACTATAGCTAGCCTTCACCCTCAATATCTTTAGCAATCAATCAAGCATAGAAATGAGATGCACAAAGTGCTCAAATTTTGCCAATTTACTCTAGCATTCAACAACAAAAACAAAAAGATTGCAAATGTATACACTTTATTCCTCCAAAGATCTGTTACACACATATGTAAACAACTAAAGCACTTCTACATATTTAGATGCATGAGTCCAAAGGCGTATATTTCATACAAAAGATATATGTATGTCAAAGCTATTTGCATTCACAAGTATTCCCAATGTATGACGGTTCAAACCTGCTCAATTTACAAAAATAGTTAAATGTAGCATAAGTATATAAAAGAAACATTCACATCCCACTTTTCCTATTTCAAAAAATCTCAATCATGAAATTTCAAAACCAATGACAGGCATCCCACAAATTTTTTCTCCTCATAGTACACCATTGATAGTGCCAGCAATGAACTTGACCAAATCTTAAAGATTTTTTGTTCACTTCAGACCAACACCACCTTTTGAATGCATCCCTCCCTCTATATTCTTCCAATCTCATTTGATTTGTGCTGGGATTCAATCTGTCCATGGTCAGCGCAGGCTTGAACAATACAAACAATGCCCAACCAAGCCTCCAGCCATGGTCAATGGTTACCAAGCACATCTATTGAGAGTTCCTAGATCCCCTTTCTAGCTGCTCATTCCCTCTTTTCTCTCTATTCCATTGCAATAAGTAATATAAACCATAGTTAAATAATAACAAAAAACTCTCTCAATATCTGGAAAAATTCTTAGCTTCCAAGTTTGTGTGAGTTTCCCTTTTAATGTGGCTAGAAAATAGCTTTACGGGTTCATAGATTTAACGTTTGAAGTTTTATAAAGCTTTTTCTGGGAATGCATTGGCTACTTGTTAGTATGTGCCTTTAAGAGCTATAAAGTTTATAAATATTGGGATATCGTTGTTAGCCCAAGGTGTTACAGTCCAACAGACGTAACATAGAAAAACCATGTGATATGGTAACCCAAAAAATATCACAGCATAATCAAAAGAAGTGGTTAACCAAAACAATTTTAGCCAGCCTGTCTTTTCTAGCCGATCCATTTCATGCGCTGTAATCAAATTTAAGGACAACTTTTTATTACAAGAAAACCAAAATTTCCAAATATCTTCTAAAAATATCTAAAGTATTTGTATATTTACAAGAACAGACATGGCAAATTGTATGATATGTTGAACATCAAAGACATTGATAAGATAATTAAATGAAAAGGGAGAAAATTTCCAATAAGGATCAAGAAATTCAATCACATGCACTGGCTATATGTTGAAAGAATTATATGGTAACATGAGAACGTCCCGTTTGAAGCCTATGTTCGAAAATCAAAGTTTCTATCTAAACAAGGGATTACTAAAACATGAATTAGGTCTCCATTGAAAGATTTCGATTAACCAATTACCATAATGCTTGACCTGTTAAAATAAACATACTTTTCTTCATGGCTATTGAATCTGAAACCCTAAACGGACTATGAACTCAAATAAAAATATTAAAAATGAAGCAATCAATGTTTCAAAGGTACGAAAACACTGTCTAGAATGTTAACATAATCAAGCTTCAGAGCAGCATGATGCATCCAACTGGATAAAAAAACTCACCTCTATCTTTTTCTCTCCCAAAATCACATCAGACTGTATGAAATCATCCGCAGCAATGAGCGTATGTTCTCCATCAATCTCCGAAACAGCATAACCAACGTGATCAATAACAACGGCATCCGGATCCTGAATCCAAGAAGTCAAACCAATCGATCACAAAGTAACAACTAACTCATACCCCAAATCCCTAATTAACCCAAGCATCCCAACTCACCTCATCAAAATCTACGCCACACTCTGAGGCAATCCCCCTGATCAAGTCCGAGGCGTAAGAGTCCGCAGCCAGGATCAGATCGTGTCCCGCATCAACGAAGTCTAGCACGGCGGCCTGGTCAAGAGAACCCCCGAAACCTAACGAGCTCAAGCAGATTAAGATCTCAAATAAAAAAAGATGTGCAACTATCCGGAACTGAAAGTGTTAGGGTTTTACGCTGGACGGAGGGAGAGAATATGACGAGGCCGTCATATAGGTAGTGACCGTAGCGCTGGAGCGCAAGCTTCGGATCGTCGGCGAGACGGAATTCGAGAACATAGCCGCGAGACTCGAGAAACTTGAAGTAGAGTGAATGAGATGAGCGGATGGCGAGGTCATCGACGAGCACGAGGAGGCGGCGATCGGTAGGGTTTTCGGCAGAGAAGGACTCGCATTCAAAGGGGAAAACAAGAAGGATGAGGAGGGGAAGGGATAACATCTTCGCCATGGCGGTACAGTGGTGGCTGCTTCTCGCTCGTGAGGACGCAAACTATGAAGCTCGATATGCGAGCGAGCGAAATGCGAGCGAATCCTGAAGCACAGAGCGTTGCGGCGCGGGGCTGTATTCCCGGTTCGATCAGGCGCATTATTTTTTTATTTGAGATTAACTTTGCTTAATATAAATAAAGACGGCTATAATAAATAAAATAAATATTAAATTATTTTCATATAATATTTGTAATATGATATACGTGAATAATTAACATTTTAAATATCACAAAAGAAGCAATCTAAAACCTCATGCTCGTGCTCATAATATCAACATTATATGCATATTGAGTTGTGATTAATGTCAAATCAACTATATATTGGTGAGTCCATGAGCATCGATGTTGGAGTCCATATTGTACATTAACTTTTTATAGATGATGTGCATTAATGCTTGTGACAACAACAAACGCTAAAGTTGGCTACTGTGGATGTGGATGATTTGCATCTGCCTTACAATCAATATTGTACATTGATGTTACTACTAATGGTAGGCGTTAAGATGAAAATTGGCATTTGTGTCAACATCAAATATCAGCCTTATAGATGATGCATGTTTTGACGTTGTCCACGACAACGAGTGTCAATGTTTATGCAGTCGCCAAATATATGACTTATAAACAATGGCGCAAAGCGACGTTATTGTTAATGATAGGCAATGACACCACGAGGCATCGATGTTTTATGTTAACAATGTGCATTGACCTTAAAGATAATGAAATGTGGTTGTGTTATTGGTGATGTGTGTTCGAGAGATTAAATCTCGTGACCAAAATCAAGAGAATGTAGTATTTGTTGTTCTCACAAAGCCCTGCAAGCGTGTAAAACCAATATATCTTCATCTTTACCAACTTTATACATGCCATTTTCTAACTAGCATATAGAATTTAGAAATAAAATCAACGAGCTTATGAGATTTAGGCTTTGTTTGGGACGGCTTTCTTAATATTTTTTAAAGTTGTTTTTTTTGTAAAAAAACTTATTTTAAGAAGCAGTAAGAAAGTCGTTCCAAACAAAATCTTAATGGTTGTGTGTGTTATTGATATATCATCAACAAATTATCTTGATGGGGCATGATTCTCGAGGCAAAAATCAAGCCGAAAACTTCAAAAATTAAATACAGGATCACCTGAACTCCGATTTTAGCAAACTTTTTTTTTAACAAAAAACCAATATATTAAAACTGATAAAAAATGTTACAACATTTGGCAAAGGGAAAACAGACAGAAAAGAACACCAATAAAAAGATACAAACACAATAAAACAGAAAGATAAAATCCCAAAAGAGGGCTCAGTGGAACGCTGAGACTCCTAGCCTCCTCGAAAGCGCAAGGACAGTCCAGAAAGGGTGAGAAACGCCAATGGTTGCCACAAGGTAGCCAACGAGGAGACGAGCCCTAGCAGCATCATAGCCCCGCAACCTCCAATCCAAACAATGAGCAATCCGAACGATCGCAAGAAACAAACAAAGAAGAAAATGAATTATCTTCTTCGACCACCTCTATTTCAAAATTTTCCACGAGAAACAGCCTTAAGAGGACCATCACGAACCATTTTAAACTCATTATCAGGATCTGAATATGACTCAGAATCATAATTATAATCAGACGAATTATGCAACCAATCACCATGAGACTTAACATCCAATCCAGAAGTACCACCCACGGTTACTGGAACATTAACCAAATTTTGAGAATTGTCCAAAATGCCTTGCACGTCCGAATTTACTAACTGTCTATACACTTTTGGTTCCACATTCCTAACACTATCCAGAGGCCGACCAAAATCCTCCACAACACCCAAAACAGGCGAAACGTCAGACCCCCCCCCCCACACACACACACTGGGCAGGAGGAGTCGCAACATTAACGGGACCAGAAACCAACTCCGGCACCAGAACATCAGTCATAAACTCCTCAATCACATCCTTATGACCAAAACCGTCCACCACACACGAAGGAGTAAAAGGAATAGCATTAGGAGACAACAAAGTATCAGCAGCAGACGACATTAAGACACCAACATCACCATTAGCAACAGGGGAAACAGACGGTGACTCGACAGAGGGTAAAACAGCCATTCCAATCGCAATGTTAGCATTCTCACATCCCACAACATTCTCACGGGAAATGAGGTTGTTACAAGGAGAGCAAATCGGAGAAGAACCATCAATAACAGTTAAAACCAGAGGAACAGAAGGAGCAACCACATTACCAGCTTCATTTAAGCTATCAACACCATTCCGAGCACCCGATCTCCCTCCCTCCCCCAACGCAGAAGAAGGAATAAGATTAGGGTGAAGAATGGTGCAACCGGCTTTAGAATGCCCCAAAGAAGAACAATGCACACAATAATCCTGGAAATCTTCGAAAACCACAGACTGAACGTAACCTGAATTTTTCGAGCCAACCCAAATTTTATCATGGAATTTTTTGGACACATCTATTTCCACCAAAACTCTCGCAACTGAAGGACGGGAACCAGTAGAAGTAGCATTATCTATTTTTAAGGGATTTCCAAAAATCCTACCCAATCCATGGAGAATACGCGAAGCAAACAGATGAGGCCTAAGATTTGGAAAATAAATCCATATGGGAACAACAGGAGATTCGATTTCCACATCTAAAGTAGGAGACCACTTAATCAATTTCATGAAACAATTGTTAACGAAATAGGATCTATGAGCAAACACCCTACAATAATCTAAATCATTGAAAAGCTTAATCAAGACATTATGCTTATTAAGAATAGTGACAGAAACATCCCCCTTCATTTTAAGATTAAAGAAAAAATTCCTAATAGCATCCAATGATGGACGACGAGCAGGAAACTTTTCGACATGGGCAAACTCAAATGGAACAGCTAAGGATGCGATTTCCATCTCCGGAATTCACAAAGAAGGCATGCCTTTAAATGAAGAAACCTTAAGCTCAGGAAACACCACATAAATAGATGAAGAACCAGAAAGCGCATCTTTAAACGAGAGAGGCGAAGAACCGGTTAAAAAACCAAGATCACGAAGACGAGAATAAGCCATCAAAACAAAACCACAAAAGCAAAAAGAAGAGGAGACTTCCCTGGCGCACGAAGAACGGACGGAACGTCGAGCAGAGGCGCCGCCAGCAAGATTTAGGGCGAAGCCCTAAATCCCAGAGCACGATGGAGATACGAACTCATCTCCAATTTCAGCAAACTTAAAGTCAAATTGAGCGTCTCAGAAATACGAACTCAACGACACAAAATTCAACTCAATCTGAGCCCAAATGAGTATGAATCAAATACCCGAAGCGTTGTTGGAAAGTTTGAACCACAATTTGAGTTACCAAATGATTTTGAGACATGGAGTGCTTATAGTCAAATCGAGTAGCTCTACGAGACGAATCCAATGATCCCAAGATTGTCGAATTCTGAAATCATTAAGTCCTTCAAGTGTCTGACGAACAGTCCACAATCAAGGGAATCAATATCGGTCGTCCATCCAAATCACTCTACATTTGTCATTGATCCTCCTTCTATTTACGGGCCATGTCACTCCAAAAATCTATAAATATACCCTCATTTCTCTTGAGAGGGGGCCCAAGCAAGAAGAAGAAGAGAAGAAGGAGAAGAGAAGAGAAGAAGGAGAAGAAAAGATAAGAAGGATATAAGGGAAGAAACTCCTCCTCGACCACCATCGGAATTCCGCCCGACGCCCAAGTGATGCCGGAATTCTGTTCAACTTCCACGGGAAGCTAGAATTCTATTCAAGTGATGCCGGACTTCTGCCCGACTTCCAAGTGATGCCGGAATTCCGCCCGACTTCCACGGGACGCCATAATTCTTCCCTAGTGACGTCAGAATTCTACACAACTTTCCAGTGACGTCGGAATTCTATCCGATCTTCAAGTGACTTTTGAGTTTTGCACGAATACCATCTATACCGGAGTTCTCTCCAGCCACTGACTGATGTCGTACTTCTACTCGACGCCGGACCTCTGCTTGTCGCCAGATTTCTACCCGACGCCAGATTTATGCCCATTTTTGGGTTTTCACTGGACATCCATCCGATGTTAGATTTATGTCCATTGCTAGACTTTTGCCTGAATCAGTCATTCCGATCTCCGTTGCCCGCCAACTACGGTTCTTCTGACTTACGTCGCCCACCGACTATAATCCTTTAAACCTCTGTCGCCCCCCGACTATGATCCTTTTGACTTACGTCACCCACCAATTACAGTCCTTCTGACCTCTATCGTCAGCCGACTACGGTCCTGCCGACTTACGTCTCATACCGACTACTGTCATTCTAACTTGTGTCACCCACCGACTATAGTTCTTCTAACCTCTGTCGCCCGCCGACTACGATCCTTCTGACTTATGTTGTCTACCGACTACAGTCCTTCCGACCTCTGTCGCCCGCCAACTACGATCCTGCCAATTTACGTCACCCACCGACTACGGTCCTTCCGACCAAATGAACACGTCAACAATGACTCTTTGTATTCCCACAATGTAATGTAATCTATAAGATGTACATCAAGCTAAAGCCTTCCCTCAAAGAAGGACCTCATTTGTAATCAACTGCAAATATTCGTGGATTCATTCAAACTGGGCTAGGCCCCGTGGTTTTTCCCCCTTTTAAGGGGTTTTCCACATAAAAATATTGTGTGTCATATGAATGCTACACCCTCTCTCTTATCTGATTGCGTGTCGGATTTTCGTACAATGCTAAGACGCCAAACTTTATATTTCTCTACCGCCACGAATACTCCAGGACACAACAGTTATAAATACTCAATTTTAAATTAGTCGAGCTCAATGGGCACTTCATCTCCACTCAACAAGCTTGTATATAACTTGTCAAAAAGATATATCCATTTCCACTTTGATCGCATGAGACTAAGAACATATATTTAATATTGGAGATATTAAGATGATACCTAGAGCTAACTCATCTAATGTTGAATTCAACTAAGTTTGATGATATTACTGAAATAACATACAAAATGCTGCAATGCATTTTCTTTAAATGAAGAATAAACTAATAACATTGGAATTCACTGCCAAATAAATGAGCAAATGTTCTCTTAATGTTATTTATCCAAATCAG